GTGTGTGTGTGTGTGTGTGTGTGTGCCTGCGTGTGTGTGTGTTTGTGTGTGTATGTGTATGTGTGAGATAGAGAGAGAGAAAGAGAGAGAGAGGGAGAGAGAGAGGGGGGGGAGAGAGAGAGAGAGAGAGAGACAGAGAGACAGAGACAGAGACAGACACAGAGAGACAGAGAGACAGAGGCAGAGAGAAAGAGAGAATCAGTCTATGTTTTAAACAAACAAGTTTTCCACAGCTGGTCTGCCGTTAGATATAGAACTGTCCCCCCGGGGCAGTGCCACTGACTGTAGTGTCTTTAGGTCATTCCCAAAGGGGGGACAGTAGAATTGTAAATGGGCTGATTCATGTCACGCTCATAACTGGGCCAGATCTACAACAGGGAACTGCAGCTTTTTCTTTCCTAATCCTTATTATTGTCATTTTCCTCTACTTCTTTTGTATGTTTGTCACACTCTTGTGACCTGCTATTTCGGGGGTGCCTTGATGGTGGAAGCAGACCTTGTGCTGTTGAAGCTAGAGAGGTTAGCAGAGTAAGTCTGATTCCCTGTAAAGACTTCTCTGTTGACACTCACCCCTTGGCGCTCATATGACCTTATGCAGTTGCAAGCGCCGTAATTATAATTATTATTTTTAAAGATATAGAACTGACAAACCTAACCGACAAACCCTTAAAGTTGAGGCAGAATGATAAGTCTGTTTTTCTTAATCTGCGTAAAAATCCCCACGGCTCGGCGCCCTGGTGAAGAGGTGAGTGATCCGCCTTCAACTCGCCAGTGTCGGGGATGGTCTTAATAGAAATCATACGGCTAGAACAGAAAGTGTCGGAGCCTTTAATTAAGTTTTTTTTTTTAAGGAAAAAGAATTTCGCAACAAACAAACAAAGCAAAATGGATGACTGTAATGTTAACCAGGCCAGCGTCAAGTAGATCTAGAGGTTTGACACAGCCGAATAAAACATTACAGTTAAGAGACAAAGTGTCGGAGACTTTCCGTGTCTTCGCGAAAAATAACTTCGGCAAAAGCACAACGCACTGCGATAATTCAACACGAATTTTTAAAATGAAACCTTACACGGGCAGAACCGAGAGTGCCGTAAAATATAATACAATATAACTTACCTCTCTATCACAATTAATATTCTCCGAAGGCTCCACCACTACCACAACGCGTAGGCCAATATCAGAAACAGCGAAATAAAACAACACTTCTGTAAGTGTACTGATGAGAGACAATGCTCCTTTACGTGTGCTCAATACTATGCCGGTCGGTTCACAAACAGGCTTATATAAAATCGAAAATTCGCAGACTACGGCAGGCAAATAAAAGAAGTCTCAAGGACACAAGTATAAAAACAAAAGACAGCAATGAATAACGTGCTCTGGCACACAAAACCTCTTTTTAAAAAGCCCACGTACGCCCCAGGTCAGCACGTTCAGAATAGAGTTCGTTTTTCGCCGGCTTTGTGATCGATACCCAGTGTAAGAAATAGAGTATAGATCCACATGTACACGGGCACGTGTGTGGGATCGCACGTCAGTCGATCAGCCTTGTTAACAGTATTAGTATTAGCGCGCTATCGTGTGGTCAACCAACTGCACACGCAGAACCCACTGACCATGAAGGCCACGGCTTCTCTTTCCTTCTACTTGCGAGGATTTTTTTCTTGTTTCTTTGTATCTTTCTTTCTTTCTTATGAGAGGTGATAATGTTCGCTAGGCCTACCGGCACCACGCTCCGGTGCCAAGCAGTAGGAGAGATGAAACACGTGCGACCACGTACCATATTAAGCTGTTCTTCGTTACAGTTTTCGTGTGTACATGTACTAAGCGTTTTACAACACGTGTAACACAAATAGGTCATATAAGTGTCAATAATAGGGACCCCAAGAGCCAATAGGGACCCCCCCCAAAAAAACAACAACCCAACAACAAACAAACAAACAAAAGGAAATAAAGTGATTAAGTTCTTTAAAACTGGACCGGAATTAGATCTAAATATCTGAATCACCAGCACACAAATCCGATACTGCAAGAATTGCGTCCAAGCTGCGTCCACTGTCCACCTGCAGTAGTACAGAATTACGCAAGGGTGTGTTCACAACAAGCACGTTCGTTTTTGGAATCAAGCGGCTTGAACGACTGTTTGGGGCAGTTCTGACGCTCAACTAAACACAATGAGCTATTTGAAACAACGACCTTGCTTAATAAGATGCAAAACACGACATATCTTATTCTTAAAATATGAATGTTTCAAAGGAGCAGTTGTCCTAAAAGTATGTAATCCATTCGTAAGATTCGCTGTCTAATGAATCAGACAAGCAGAGACAAAAGCATTGAATACAAACAAAAGAACAGATTTTAAAAAACATAAGATCAACTTGAATTGTAACGAGCATACTTTGACGATGAGCAAAATAAATTGCAACAACCTACACTGAGTTTGTAAGGTAAGGTTGTTTTTTTTCCTTCTTTTTGTATTCAATATCCCACATCTTAACGGCACAGCGAGGTTGGTTTTACGTTTACTTTGACAATACTTACTTCTAAACTCCTCCCTATCACCAAACTCTGGAAACACATGCAGAAGCAATAATAATTAAGGATAAAACACACAAGCAGAAGTCGATGAACCAGATTAAGCTAGAAACAATGATGGGAGCATGGCAAAAACTGTCATTTACTCTGTGTGAGAGTGAGAGAGAAGCAACGCGGCTGACGGTCTGCTAGTCTGGCCCCGGAGTCAACGCACTACTGTTACCTTGTTCTCTTTGTGCCCGTGGATTCAATACCGAGCTCGTCAGGGGAATCACTCGCACTCACAGACTGGCTCTACCTGGTGCCTGGAGTCACTCAGAGAGAAGGAGGAAAGTATACTGTTCACGTACTCGGCTCTACTTGGCAGCTATGTTTTCTGATATTATTCAGGAGGGCTCAACAATCGCAAGCGTACGACTTCTAAGAGAGGATAGTACGGTTTTCTATCGTCTTCATTGTGTTCTTTCGTTCCACACCCGTCTTTGTATCCTGGAGGGGGTTGTTGTTGGCAGAAATCCCCCGAGCCCCCACCATGC